CCGACATACCTCTATCCGGCATGGTCACGCAATTGAAGAGGCTGGCTGGCGCTGTTCTCGCCCACGCCTCCACCCTCATTGAACACCAACGGCCGGTGGATCGTCACCCCCTCTTGAACCCGGCCAACCCTGCCACGTCGGGGATCCGCTCGCAGCTGGATAGTCACTACCCCTGCACTGCCACCCCTTTCACGGCCACATGCACAACACGCCGCGCCCCACCCGCATCCCGACGCGAAGCGTGCGCCCGCGAACGGTTGGATTTCCCAGATCTCGAGCACATCTGCGGCAACCAACGGTCCCATACGAACGGACGGTGGGATAGTATATCGAAACCTGGTCGTCAAATGTGGAAAGGCCCGCGGGACTCCGCGTGAAATGTCGAAAGGTCCGCCGCGGGGCTACCTCCTCACCTCGTTCCCGTCGTGCAGTTCCCGCTGGGCCCAACGACTGCCGTTACGCTGGGCCCTTTGCAGTTTTTATAAGGTATAGAGATTTCTTGTTGAATAAGAGAGGACGAGATAAGGAGGAGGAGAGTAGTTGGCGAAGAAGAAGAGCATTATCATTGGTCTATGCTGGTGTGCATCATCTTCTTCTTCTCTCTTTCTTCTTCTTCTCTCTTTCTTCTTCTCGTTCTTCTTTCCCTCTCTCTCCTCTCAAGCTAATATATTTCGTTTAGCAATTGGTCGGCATTGTACTTTCTGATGAATGTGTACTTCGAAATTGGCCAGGATCGTAACATTGGTATCGGAGCGGATTCTACTTGCTGGCGAGAGTTGACTTTGCTGCCATAACGCTAACCTAAGTGGTTAGGGCTAACCACTTAGGGTTAATGCAGGAAGTTAGGGTTAAGTGGGGCAGCGTGGTGAAAGGGAATCTGCTCCCTCCTGGCAAGGTCGTGTAGGGTCGACAATTGACCAGGCCAGGTTGCTAGTGTGTGTATGTGGTGGCGAGACACAAGGTGGGACTTTGAGATGCAATTAGAGAGAGGCAACAATGAAGGGCACCTACAACTGGAATATGGACTTCAGGGAAAACAAGGAGGGACTTTAGGGCTCCCCTCAAGTTAGGCGAGCTTGAGGGTGGCAGCCATATCTGCACCAACAGACTGCAAGTTGCTACTTCAATCTTCAACATCGATGGGGGATCCGCTCGTGTGCCTGGCAAGCCGAGTAGATCAGGCCCAGGGACACAAGGCTGGGCCTACCGGTATCGCTTGCCAGGCACACGAGCTCACAGGCGAGCTGGAAGGAGCAGGCAGCCACAGCCGACTGCGCTCCTGTATGCTGGATGGGGCGCATGGTGGTCCTTGGGTGCAAGTGGCATCTGTGAGTTGGGGAACGAGGTTGTGAGTGATACGAGAGACATACCTGGTGCTTGACGCGTGCGGCATTGGTCGAGGTCTGCTCGTGCTTGGGAAGCTGTTGACGTCATCAGCGGCATTGTAGTTTAGGCTAGATAGTATCTGCCATTCATAGTCTGGGCACCGAGCGCCAGATAGGATATCAAAATTGGTTCTTCGTTGATGATGGTGAGACTATTCCAGCATTGCCAATTATGAGCTTTTGGTGTGCTCTTATTTGGTGAAAACTCGTTATGCGATTCTGCTATTGGTTTGAGGTCACGTATATCTGGTCTCATGTGTATGATGCTGTTTGATTTTTGAAGTCCACTATTGCTCATCTTCCTTGCAATTTGGTATCGGAGTTGTGGTTCGGTGCGCTAATCTGGCGCTTATCTTCTGCCTAATGCGGTACATGCACGCGGTGTGTGCGGTGAGCGACTGTGCCGTGGGACGTGTAGTGAGGAGGGCGAAGCTAAGTTGGCGACCCAGGTGCAGAGGGGTTCGCCAGGTAGGCTAAGTGGTGATTATTGGGTGTTCGCAGTGTGATGAGAACTATCCGGTGTGTGATTGATGTTGAGGTGGAACGGTTGTGCAATGCTGGTTGTGCCGAAGCAGCGATTGGTCATCACAATCGACATCGGGTCATTTGGTGAGAATATTTGTGGTTGGGGGCAGCTATTTTGAGGTACGTTGCACATAACCTTATCTACCCTCTTCGACACT